AATTAAGAGGTACTTCCACAGGGACAAAAAGGCTTCTGAGGTAATGCACTGTTAAAAGGGCACAGAGCCAGATATTGGCAGTGGTGCTGTGCCTGATTCCAAACTTCAGCCTCATCTCCTCTTAGCAGCTGTCAAGTGTCACTTGTGCACACAGCACAGCCAGAAGGGCTCTAAAGGAGTTCTCTGAGTAGTTTGGAGAAAGCCAGGCCAGTTTAGGATGCCATCCCTCACAGAACACACAGCAAGCAGAGAACATATGCACCAGCTCTCACAAACCAGTTAAGCAGAAAGCCCAGCTCCTGTAAAAAGGTGTTTAACATCTCCCAAAGAGCCACTTGAACAGGGCTGGCCACTCACTGTGTGAGGTTATGAGGCTTGGTCTCTAGGCCAGGGTTAAAATCCATCCTTGGAATGAATGGTACTTTGAAAATTCAAGCTGAAAAAGTCAAGCCTGTTGCTTTTCCTGTGCCAGGATATTGTGCACTGTGCCACCCAGCACCTTTTCTGTGTGCTGCCTAAAATAGCTGTGCTGGGACCAAGCACTTGCCAAGTGAAAGGGTACCCCTGAATCAACACGCTCTTCATGGGTTATTGGGAATTGGTCATTCACTCAAACATTGTACTCCAATTTCAGATGGTAATAAAAATAATGAAGAGTGCTAAACCCCCCTGAATAAACTTTCCTGTACTCTGGGCCCCAGCACCACTACTCCCTCTACCATAAAGCCCACGGCATCCTACTTTTAGATTATAAAATCTGAGTTTAGGACTGGGTATTTATTGCCTGAATCCATGAAATTCAGCTGGAGGCCTTGCCATGGATATGAAGTCAGAGCCTTCCAGCACTTCCTCACTTTTACCCAAGTGTCAGAACATGCAAAAGTACAAGAAATTATGCAGATAATTTACACCAAAATCAGGGTAGCACTTGCTTTATAAAAGCTGCAGTAAGTTCTCTGGAGAACAAAGTCTGCCTTTATCTGGGCAAACAGCACTTGCAGCAATATAAACATCTTCTCAGGTAGCTCCTAATCTGACAGGGGATTACACGAGCTGCAACTGCTCGTGATTTGCTTTGTTTTGCTATTCCCTGACTCCAGTTATTACCTCTGAGTTACTACACAAAATGCACAGCAATTCATAAATGATTGATGGCTGTGGTAAGCTTTGCAGAGCAAAACACCAAACTGAATTATGCTGCTGATTTTCAAAGAGCAAAGAAAATTCCTGCAACCACCGTGATCCCCCTGAATCGTTTTAACACTGGAAATTTAGTCTCAGTAGCCTGAAGAGTCCCAGATATTAATGAAAGCCAGGAATTGTTTAATATCTACACATCTATAACTGACTCCTGTGTCATGCCTTGAGATGAAAGTTCTGGCTCATAAACAGCACACATAACGGAGTGGATATTTTGGAATCCCTGGATCAGCAGGGAGCACACAGAACTATAAACCAATTAAACCTGGCCATGAGTATGCACCATATTTACAATATGCACACAGTTTAGGATTCCACAACCCTGGAAGCAACAGCTTCAGGGCAGGAGGCTTGAGAAAGGGGCAGCTCCTGTGATGGAGGAAGTTCATTCCAGCTTTTTCAAGTCATTCACTCACTGTAGAGAAGAGAAATCACTGTAGCAGAGGTGAGCACATGCAAGGTACCAGAGTTCCTGCTATCAGGTAGAAAGAACATTTATTATGAGAAAGGCTGGGCTGTAATTCCACAGAATCAAAAACCAAAATAAGTTAAACAAGTTTAACAAAATAAGTTAAACTCAAGACTAAGCTTACTGGTTACTAAAACTAGGCTTGAATTCCACCACTGGAGTGTTGTTTCAGCACAATGAAATCATCGGCCCTGCTTTCAAAAACAGAGGCAGAGGCAACAATTAGGCTGCAAGTTTGCAAATGGAAGAAAGCCAGAGGAGTTTTGTGGGTGAAAGGAAGGTGACAGAGAGGGTGTGGAAGTGGCTGTGGTGAGAAGGGCAAAGAGGAGGCACCAAGGACGATGCAGTGATGGGACAGAGGGTGACAAGAACCAGTGGGATTGGAGAGGTGGTGATGAGGGAGGAGGGGAAACAGGGGGTTCAGAGTGTTCTGGGTGATGTCAGAGGCAGAGGAGGCACAAAGGGAGGCAAGACATGCAATGAGCACTGAAAGCCTCCCAAGGCAGCACAGCCCTCCTGCTCTGCCACTTGTCGAGCTTCTCCTCTCCCTGAGGCTTCACCTCCTCTGGAAACACTCTCTGGAAATTGAATCTGAAAATAAAGAGATTAAAGCTCTAATGCAGAACGGACTGGTGACATTTCCTGGGGCTGACAGGGCAGAAGGCATCAGAGGAACAACCCAGGAACACAAAGCCTCCCAATTAACTGAGCACAGGAATAATTGCAAGAACAAAGCCACAGAGGAGTCTGGGCCGTGCCTTTTCCCTTTTCCAGCAAGCCAAATGAAAGCTGGCTTAGAAGAAATAATGACAGAACTGTGGTGCAATTTTGAAAAGAAGGGTTGCTGGGAATGAATAGAACTTCAGATGATAAAATAAAATTAAAAAAAAAAATCCCTCCTCATTATAACAGTGAAAAGAAAGAGTGTTAGGTCAGTAGGAGTGTCTAGAATTGTGTAGAAGCAAAGGGAAAATATAGACACGGAGCTAATAAAGCCAGCTAATTGAGAATTGATGGTTTCAAAGAGCTTCTCTCCACTCAGTTACAATCTTCAAGCCAACAATGTCATGTTTATTAGATCACTACAAACCCCAGGCTTGGTCCATGGGGGATTCAACTGAAAAGACAAAGTCCCCACAGTGTCACAAGTGTTCATGCACAGCTCAGGGCACCGGTGTGTTCCACCTCCAGCCACCCATTCCAGTCTATAAATGATATATTGTTTCAATTAACAAATAACAAATCCTTTAAAACTTCAAAAAACAACCTTTATATAATGAATACAATCTTCATATATGATTTTAAAAGTTGTTCTTTCTCTTTTGAAACTTGGGCGGATTTTTTAGTGTAGGGTTTTTTCTGAAGTGTTATTTTTATGTTTGAGTTCTTTTTGTTCGAGGGGGTTTTGGGGGGTGCAAATGAGGGATAAAAGGTAATAAAGAACACGTGGGCTGAGGGTGTGGATTGTATTAAGGCAACTCAGAGCACCTGGGCTGGTGGTGTGGGCTGGGCTTAATCTGAGTTCAGCTGCATTTTAGGTGAGACTAAAGGGAGAGTCACCTAAGAAAAAGGCTGTTAAGGTAGGAAAGTATGTATTTATTATAAATAATTCTTAGTAATATTGCATGTGTGTCAATCTAAATCTGGGGGGTTTGTTTAGTGGGGAATATTCCTCTTCTGTGGGAGGGTCAGTTCTGATGGAGGCAAAAAAAAAAAAGGCAAATACCTCAAAGTGAGTTGAACCCAATATGAGAGAGGAAAAATGCTATTAAAGATTATGGACTGGGGCTACGTGATGATATTGAGAATTAATAATGCAAAGTCAGGCAGCAGAGTGAAAGATAGGAGGCTCTTATTGTCCAGGAAAGAAAAGAAGTGCTCTGTTGCTCTTTTAGTTCTATCAGATGAAAGTCAGGTTGTCTTTCTTGAGCTAAAATTCAGGATATGTTGTTTCTTGTTGGTGATTTTCATCTGTTTCAGTGCAACTGAGGAAAAAGCTCTTGACCTGGTGTAAATACAGACAGAGCATAACCTCAAAGGAAAAAAAATTAATAATTCTCATATTCTCTCACTTCTGGAGTTGCTGGAGGTAGAATTTAAGACAGAAATCCAGGAAAGAGGGTTGGAGAAAGTGAAATTTCATCAGACTGAAGTGAGTTCCTCTCTTGTTTAGAGGAGAATCAATTTGGGGGCAGAGAGCACTGTCCTGAGACTGGAGACTGAAGTGTGACTGACCCTATCTGAGACAGGGGGTAGGACACTAAAACTGGCTCTGAGGGGTGGGAAAAGTGTGTTCCAAGCATTTTCAGAGACAGCAGCTACTCAAAACCTGATTCTTGCCATTCTGTGATCTTACCATGCCTGTTAAAACCAGGCTTTAGCTTCCCCTTGGGTTGAGAAGTAAAATTCACAAGGTAACTTTACTTATTTTGGCTCTTTAGGTTCCAGGGTCAACGAGTCTCTTTGTAAAAGAGCTGGTAAAGTGAATTTTCTGTGTGTGCTCTTAAGACATAATTAGGCAGATAGTCCTGGAGCTGAGATCAAAGGTTTTGCCATGACAGTGACTCCCCCTGTTCTCTGTGCAGGCCATAATTGAGGCTTATTTGGTGCAGGCTGAAAGTCCTTTTTGTTCTGATGACAAAACATGCATTAAAATAATGTGTAGCTGTGAGAAACTTAATAATCCTGCAGATCTCAGGTATTTGTGCTAATCAGGCAGCCTAAGAGAGCTCTGTGCACTGTGAGCAATTTCTCTGGTGGGGAAGAGGCAACAGACACCTCAAAAAATGGGCTTTGCATTGAATTAACATAGGCTGGGCAAGCTGTACATCAAGCTGTAAAATCAATACAGCTTCTAAGACAAAAAGCTCGGACCATTATGCAGTTTTAGCCAGCAAAGAAAATGAAACTTCATCTCAGGAGTGCGCATCGTTTGGCCAATGCGTTTAAATCTGCAAAATATCGCCTGCGTTTATCGGGCACAAACCGCTTTAATTGGGAGGTGCTTTTTCAGCTGTCAGGAATCGAAAAGCTCCTTAAAACAACAGGTTGGAAGAGATGAAGCTTTTGTGTCGCTCAGAGGTGACTTTTTTTGCCAGTAAATGAGTCCTGTGCTGATTTGTCCCTCCCTTGTTTGTGTTTTTTCGGGGTTTTTTTTCAGCTGTCACTGCGGGGTGTGAGGTTTTATTTGGCTGCTTGTTGAAAACAATACCCTGCAGCTTCTTCTCAGCTCTTGATGGTGCTAGAGGAGTGACTGTCAAAGAGGTGGCTTTGGTCTGCAGGACACTCTCTGTCGAAGGAGGCGAGATAAATGCTGGGGGAGGGCGTTTCCATGGGTAAGGAAAGGGAGAAGGAGGTGCTTTACTGCAGGTTGTTCTGCTCCCATCAGCAGCGAATTCACGTGAACCGGCTGAGGTCGTGCTGTAATGTATGTAAATATATACGAGAACCCCTCGGTCTCCTCAGGAGTTTTATCTCGTGGCTCACACTCGGGGAGCTGATGGAGAGGAAGGAAGCACAGAGGAAAAGTCCTGTTGCTAATGGAACACATCACCTCTAAGTGTTTATCTCCTAATAGCACCGAGGGCTGGAGCGCAGTGAGAAGAGGGTTTATGAAGCAGCTAATTAGTCTTTGCTCAGGGAAACCAGGCACGGCGTTGGCCCTTCAAGAAGGTGGTAGTTGAAGGGCTTAGTTATGGTAGCAGTTAATAGTAACACCGTATTTTCAGCCAGGAAGCTCCCTGATTAAGTTACACTGGGTGTCACGGTCAGGGTAAGTGCTGTGCTATTGATAGAAAAATTAAACTAGATGTAAAGGTGTGCACTGACTGTTCTGACCCCCAGAAATAAAATGAAATTGTCTGAAATGGGTTAGTTTAGTGGTGATTAGGATGCAGCAGGACTGGTGATAATCTGCAGATTGTCAGTGTTTGCATGTGGCTGATTTCGTGTTTGAGTCTTTGGCCTCTCCTGTTTACTTAAAAACAACTTGCCACTTAGTTTTTTTTTTTTTTATTGCTATATTATTTATTTAAGATCTTTTTATTGCCAACTTGGAGCTCTGCTTTCAGCTCCAGTGCAGGCAGTGAGACAGAGCTCTTTCTTCCAGCTCCCCAGTTTGTGGTTGGGTTGCTCTTCCTTCTTAATTCCTCCTCCTCCTCCTCTCTTGCAAGTCCTGAGCTTGAGTGTTCCATGGAAATCCAGTCAGAAGTAGTGAGCCTGCTCTTCCAAACTCTCCAGGCTGTCTGCATTGTTTTTAGAAGTTATAAATTGGGAAACTTCCAAATGCTTGGCATAACAATGTATTCCTGGGTGTGTGATAAGCTTGTGCCCTTGCCTTTCCGTTTGCAGTTTGAATACAGATTAGTCAGCTTTTAATGGAGCTTTAATGAAGTCCTGAGCCTTTGGAGAACTTGAGAGACGTGCTGCATGTAATTTTTGGCTCCCTCTGTGACTGGAACTGCAACAAAGACTGAAACTTTGTGGGCTGGAATGGAGGTTTTGAAGAGGAGGATGCAGATGTTGGATCCCAGGCCAACAGTTGGTACCTCAGAATCATCTGTCACACTGGAGGCATTCAGTGTTTGGGACTCACACAACTCTGGAAGATCTTCTTGGGAGCCTTTTGAGCTCAAAATAAGACTTCAGAGGGTTCCTTTAATAGCTTTTCCTCGACCTTTCAAATGCCCCTTAGCAGTCAGAGCCCAGGTTACTTGATTTTTAGAAACCAAATTTTGATTGAAGCCCTTTAAGCAACAGTAACTAAGCGTGCTCATATTGCAGAATAACAATTGTGAATGAAATTATTTCATTGAGATGGATGTTGCACCAAAGTGTGGCATTTATTGACAAATTTGAATTGGCTTTTGAAGGACATGAATTAGAGGTGTAGACCTACATTTTCTCTTGAAGGCACTTGATAAGTAAATGCACATAACTGTGGGGGTTCTATACCTTAAGTTTGAGTAAATGCAGTGTATACTTTGTTCATCTCTGAATAGTAATTGAGTCCTGGACTGCATTTATAGTGCTGAGAGTAATACAACTACCATGATGTATAATAATGCTTAAGAGCTCCAGGGAGGCTCATTTACATGATAGCCAGGGAAATGGGCTTGCCAGGAATACGAATTAAGAGCCTGGTATTGTGTGAGTTACAGAATGGTTTTCAGGTGGGAAAATCTGAGTGAACTCAAGTTATGGGAAAGGGGTGTTAAAAAAGGCATTTAAAATGGCTGTTAGAAAAATGTGTTGGCTTTTATTTCTCCTTTGACTGCGAATAAGGGGAAGTCTCTTACTCTGGAGGTACTTTGAAGAGGCATTACATCAGCCTTTAGAGAACTGAGTGCCTGTTCTGTTTGTAAAGATCCTGACCATACTTCCAGTGGGAAATCCAGGATTTCCAAGCTGGGAAGGAGGGATTTTGCTTAATGAGTTTGCACTGTGTAGGCACAACTTTGTTTTGTACTCATTCATCAGCTGGGTGTCTGATTTCTTTTGGTAATACTGAAGAGTTTGAACCTCTTCCTGGTTTTGATCTGGGGATAAACAACTTGATGGCCTTCACAGGCTCATTGATAATTTGCAGGGCTTTTGCTCAAGGTGTCCCAACTGGTGTCAGGAGGGTTATGGCAGAGAGGCAGATGGGAGGAATAAGATTCAGTGGTTGACATGAAATACAGCATAAAATGTACTGTCTGCCCTGTTGCTTCAGAAGGGAATCGCTGCCTGAAAAAGCTCATCTGTTTTGTGCTGGCACAAAAAGCTTGTCCTGAAACTTATTGGAAAAACTTGCTGGGTTGGACTGGCAGTGAAAGCAGCTCCTTGGGGAGGAATGATCCCTTGTAGAAAAAGAGGCAGAGAGTCAAGATGGATACAGCAGTTTCTCTTGAAATGAAGGTGTTTGCTTCTTTTCAAATATCAAAAAAAAATGAACAGGTCTGATAGTCCCCACACTGCCATTGAGATACTGTAAATTTATAACCACTTGTCACCTAAAATGTTGAATTAAGTGCAGAGGGTGAGAGCTGTTTTTATTATTTTTTCCGAGTGCTCCCAAGCTTCATCTAAAACTGGGACTCTAAGGGTGGGTGTTTACAAATGCCAGTTTTCCATGGCTCCCTGTGTAGTGGGAGACAAGCTCCTTCAGGAAATGATTTGCATCAGTCCTGCCTTAGCTTCAGTCTGACTGCAGATTGCAGCAAAGTGGCTTCCTTAGCTGGAATTAGCCTCTGAAAGCTCCCAGAGGTGCCTGGTCCATCACATTCATCAAGATCCTGTGCAGGAGATGCTGCTGCAAAGGTAAGTGCTGCTGTTTCATGAAGTTGATGTGAGTGTCTGGGGGGGAATGCACTGGCTGAGCATAAAAGCAAAACTGGGTGGTTTTCCCACCCTGGGAAGATTTCAGCTTTTACAGCTGCACTCTCCTTGTTTATAAAATATATTGATCCAGCAGCATCATCATCCTGAGCTGTGACTTGTGCCATTAAGCAGCAGCTGGAAGGTGCTGTAGCAAGCCAGTGGTTCGTGTGGGTACAGGCAGAGGCAGGAATTGCCATCTGGCCTGAGGAGCTGATTCAGAGGTTTCTGTGGATGTGTCATGATGACAGAATACCACCTGCATTTAAACTTTCACGGGTGTTTTACCTTTAAGAACCCCCAATTTTTTCACCATCAGCATGCATTTGCTACTGAAGAGAAGTAATCTTTTATTCCTAGTAGCTGAATGCTGGTGGGACCCTACCTGAGCTGGTGCTGGAAGAAGAAACAATGGTGATGCCTTGCAGCAACTTTTAAGTGTTCTTTGGGGGGAGATTTGTGTTTCCATGTGCTTAAATATTGCCAAAATGAAATTACATGTAGCTGGGCCTTGGGCTCTTCATTTTATTTTCTTATCTATAAGAGAACAGTGCCATTCAAAGTAGGAAGAAGGACCATGTAGGATGAAGTGTTCCCACAGCAGCCTTGGACTCCTGGGAATTTGGATGTCAGTTTTAAGCTGGGCAGAAATGGAGATGCATCTCCAGCAGGGACATCCAGCCAGGCTTATTCCTTTCTTCTCAGGATTTATGGTGTGCTGGGAAGTTGGCTGGGAGATCCAGTGCTGCTGTGGCAGCCAGTCCCTGAAAGGGGCTCTGATGTCAGGCTGTGGTAGATGGAAGGGCTAAAATGAAATGTCTCTTCCAGCTGGCAAGTGCCTGAATAAAACAATCACTCTGAAAGTGAACAGCAGTCACCAAGATTGCCTTCCTACTGTACCTTGATTGGATTGTACAAGCAGCCCATCATTTGCACTGTGTTTCTCTGCTTGGGTTCTTTGTCTTTCAGCTCCCTTTTGTGCATCTCTTCTGCAGCTGTAATGTGCTGGGATGGTTTAGATCCCTCCCTGTGACCTCATCTCATGAGAGATAATTTCTTACAAGGGTTTGCACGAGATGAAATGAAACAGAAATTACATTCTTCTGCGTGAATATGGCCTTTCCTTAATTGTAACTAATTTGTGGTTGAGGCTACAAGAGAATTGCAGTTTTCTGAAAATAACATTAAGGGGTAGAGAGCTTTGTGTGAACATACCCTGCAATAATTATATGTGGGTGTCATAGAAGGGCTAGAGGAGTTTTCTTTAGATTTGGGTAGTGATCTTCATATGGCCTCAACAGCAAAAGGGAGTAAAAAAGGTGAAGTTTATTATTTTTGAGGGAGTGTCAATTCTCTGCTTTGCTGGAGCACATTTGACTTAAGCCAAAGCTTCTCTCTGGGACCTTGTATATTCTCATTTTAGATGTGAAAGAACTAATTGATGAACTCTTTACTGGGCACAGGGGCTGGGCTTGCAGAAAATTGCCCACTATGTACTGAAACACCTTCTCCCAAAATATATAATACAGTGATGGCTCCTTGCAAGAACAAAACCTGTCAGTCTCCTTGTTAGCTCAGTCAAGTGATCACAGGCAGTTTCTAGACATGAAGGAAGAACTGCAGATGCTACACCTTCATTATTATTCACACAAACCTGTCTTTCCTTCTGCTCAACATTTAATGGTCCAGTAAGCAGGACAGCAGCATCCTGGAAAGAAGAGCCATCCCAGCCCTCCATTCTTCACGCTCTGCTGAAGTTTCTATGAATAGAAGGACAAGGGCTCCTGTCCCAGGCTCTGGCTCTCTCATTAGCATTTCAGTTCCTCACCAGAGCTGGCTGTTGTGCTCCTTGGACCCTGAAGGATTTCTCCCGTGTCACGGGGCAAGCTGTGAGGTACAAACACAAGATATGCCTAAAACTCACAGAAGAATCAGCCCAGGGGTGATGGAGAAAAGCAGCTGAAGGTCTGTTGATGTCCCTGCCTTGCAGGGCAGAAGGAGAGCCCTTCTTGTGGCATTTTTGCTGGGGTGAAGCACTTTGGGGTGGAATGGATGATCCCTTCTCTAGTCTCTCAGTTTGAGTGGTAATTGAGCTGGTGGAGATCACAACAGGGATGGCAAAGCACTGTCGTGGAGCTCAAAAGACTAAAGGTCATCTGCAGCTGTCCCTGTGGTTTATCCCTTCCTGTGGAGGGGGGAGAATGGCTCAGTATTGGCAGCGGAGCAGAAGCACGAAAAGGAATTAACCTGAGCACTGCATTGTGCTGATCTTCATCCAGGGATCATAAAACATCCAAAGGTGAATTAATAACGTCTGTTTATGGCTGGCTGAGGGACCAAATGGGACATTACATCCCTGGGTCTGTGCAGGGGAAAAGGACTGGTGATATTGCTGGGTTTGAAGTGAGGGGGAGCAGCAGGCTGCTAGGTGAGAATGATTTGGTCTCATTTGTCTGCTCTTGGTCAAAAGCACTCTGAAAAAAATGACATCATACCTTAGATGAGGGCTGGCACGAGGCCTCCAGTTTTGGTTTAGGAGCTGAGGGTCTGGTGAAAGGGCAGATTCCTTTTTTTTTTCCCACTCCCCAAATGATGCACAAACTCCTCCCCCAGTGATCTGTGCACCAATTCATGGAGCCTTTGCAGCAAGGTATTATATATCTGTTTAGTGGAGATGACATGACTGTTCTGCTCTCAGACTTTCTCCCTGGCTTAGGAAGCCACTCAAAGCTCCCAGCTCTTAGGCAGGAAGGGATTCACTCTTAGTCTCAAGTGTCCAGACAGGCTGACAAATGGAGTGGTTTTGTATCAGCTGATGGACAACATTCTTTACAAACCAACTGCTGTAAGGACTTGGAGCCCTTCTGTAGGACTATTTCTTTTTGAGCTGGTGAAATAATGATGTTTTTAGAGGGAATAGCTGTCAACAAGCAAGCAGATAGCAGCAAAATAAGTTGCTGTAGGAGAGGAACTCTATTGTTTACCCCCAAGATGAACCTCTGGTAAATGTGAAAGCGTTTTTCAACTCCTCGTTGCTCGTTGTCCAGCTGTTGCACTTGACAAGTGAAACAACCACACCTCCTTTCCTTGCTGGGCCCTTTTGTTGGCACTGGGAAGCGAAACAGCCGGGAGGAGGCTCAGCCTGGGCTGTTCCAGGGGGTTTCTATGGAAACTCTCAGCCCTCCAGCAGGTTCTCCAAAGGGCACAAGCTGTGGATGCCTCTGAATAATTACGTTCACGTGCTCCTGACCATTATCCTCGGCCAGCAGCAGATCCCTGCAGTGGTTGCCTTGGTGACTGCGTTTTCCACGTTGTGGACAGCAAGAGGCACGGCAGCAACACCAGGCAGGGATTTCTGCACATCTCCCTGCCCTTGGTGGAGGACCTGCTGAGATCTCCAGGCCCTGTCTGAGCTATTTCCTTCCCAAGGGGAGATTTTAGAGCCTGCAGAGCTCCTCGGGGGGCTCGATGTGTTGAGCAGTTCTCTCTCTGAACGGGGACTTTAATTTAGGGAATTGCTTGATGTCCTGAAAAATGAGGCACCTCATAGGAAATCTGTTGTTGATTAATGGCTTCTCATGGGCATTCTATTGTTGATTAATAGTTTCTCAGCTGTCTTAGAGGAATTAAATGCTTGTCTGAGTACCAGAAACCTTGTTTTGTCATTACATGTCAAATATTGACAGATATCTGCGACTTAATTGATATACAACAAATCTCTTCCCCTTTGATTCAATAAACTGCTTTTAGTCTGTTAGTTTTCCTCTGCTGGAGTTGTTGTTGTCAGAGTTCCATGGGTTTATGGGGCAACATAACAACAAAAAACACCAGCAAGAACTTTTTGTAGTCTGTTTGATATAAACTATTCTGTGTTTGTAGATTTGAACATGAAGTATTAGAATCCAGCTGGATTAAAAAAATGGGTGCTTGCCATGAATGTGCTGAAGTGGACAGGAAGAAAGGGAAAATGCAGCCCTTCCCACTAAAACTGTAACAATTTAGGGAGGCAGAGAGAATTCTTCAAACTTTTTTGAGCTGACATCTCCATTTTAATGCCTGTGGGTAATCAGGTGCTTATTGACCTCTTATTCAATTTTTACAGTGTTTTGAATCTGACCCCATTTCCTCACTAGAACATCCACTCCTTTAATGCTGTGTCGTTTTGGGTCCTGGCTGGGGAAGGAGAAGTTGGAGGGATAAAACCATCTTCCTCCTGATAATTATTTCTGCTTTCTAAAAGAACTCAGCAACCTGTCCTGGGTGTTCTTGAGTGGTCCTGAGTTTCACTGCAGGGGTGATGGGGCTTTGGAGTGGGAGTTGCAAGAGGTTGGGGAGCTTTTAGACAGGTAGTTATGGAAAAGCTGTAAGTGTTTTAGCAGAGTTCAGTTATTTCAAAATGGGGGGAATCACTAAAGTAGAAATGCAAGTTGATAAAATTCAGTGCATGGTCTTTAAAATAGATCACAATTCAAATTAGAGGGTGTTGCCTTATAGCACTCTGTACAGTCCTGTTGAATTCCATACTGGATTCCTCACTGGGGATCTTTGGGGCCCTTCTCTAAGATGACAAAGTCAAATGTTCCCTGTAGTTTTGGAATGGCAGTGGAGAAACTTTGGACAAGTGCTTAAAAGCTGGGAATTGAGGTTATTGAGGGGCATTTTTGAGGGTGCTGTGTTCAGTGGGGGTCTCTTTCCAAAACCTCATTGGGGGCCATCATGTGACAAATGGGATGAATCAGACACTGAGTTTATTCCTGTAGAGTTCAACAAGACTTGTGTTAATCCAGCCCTGGTATCCCTTGACTTCCTTGTAGATGTTCCTCCTTTCTGAGGGTAAATAACCATGGGAGTGCACTGCAGCAGGGAGTGGCTGTTAAACCTGGGACAGGGACCAGGTGTATTTGTTATTCTTTTTTATAAGCAGGACTGTCCTTCTGCCTTTT